TTTTATTCTGTTTTTAATCCATTGGGAGCCTTCCAGAGTGCCTGGGTAAACTCAACCAGATGGGCAGGGTATAAATAATAAATTACTAATATTATTGTTATCTATGAGGTCTTCAGATGTTCCTGGGTGCCAATTCCCTCCATCACAGGCATCATGGTCAATGGTTGGGGATGACGGGAGTTGTGGACCAGTAACATCTGGAGGGCCACATGTTCCCCACCCTTTAAGGAAGGTATATACATTTAATCACATAACTACCTCCTGATCATCAGAAAAGATGGAGTACTAGATCTGGTCTCAGTTGGATGCATGTAAATCCAATTGAGTCTAGCAAGACTTTGGAGACCATGAGTTGGACCTGGAAAAGAAGTAGAGGGGAAGCTGTTACCCAGGCTCCCCAAGTGTGCCACTTTATTTTCTTTTTGCAAAGACCCAGCCTGACATCTGATGCTGTGGGTTAAAGAAAGAAAGAAGAGGACTGCAGTGTAATCCTATTTCGAAGCCACCTGAGTGAGCAAATGATTTTTCCAAACGCTTGTATTTTCTGGATCATGATCTGGATCTGGATTGACAAACTGGGCCCATGAATCATAGCAGCACACCTGTATTGCTGGGGAATAAAACAGAATGTGCTGCTCCTGTTTTGCAATGCAGCTGGAGCTTTAATATAAGGGACATGGCTGTTTGAGAAGAAGTGAAAGGAACATCATGGCTTGGCCAGCTATCAAGCACCTGCCTGCATGGGGGAAGGAAGGAGGAAGCAGTTGTCTGGGAACAAGGAAATTAACCTTACTATGACTGAACCACAGAGATAAAGAATGCAAATGAAGGCTCATGTCCACATGTGTCGACTCCCAAGCCAGATCAAAGAATGGGAAAGGAATTACGTCATGAATTACATCTGTTGCCAGCTTGGCATGAGACCTACTCTATGGTCTATATAAGGGCCAGCAGCTGAAGGAGACAGGGAGATCTTGATACATTGTTCTATGCTCCATTCCAGAATGTGAAGAGAACGACCACCTGCCAGTCTGAAGTGTCCCAAATAATCCTTACAGATCTCCATTGGCTGGGGAGACATGAAGAACTGAACCTATTCTATCTGTATTATGACTATTGTTGCCTACGATCTTTTGATTATTGGTTATATTGCTAGCTTTCTAGTTTATTCCAGTTGCTGTTGGCTTTATATTAGACTCTATTCTACGTTGCTGATCAATTTCTTTGTAATGTTTACCAATTAGTTGAAGTTTTTCTCTGTCTAAGAGTCTCCGTCCAGTGGAATCCAAAGAACCTCTTGTTTGCCTGATGGTTGCTATTGGCCAAACAGCCAGTAGGGGGCAATGGCAAGACAGCAAAAGTACACAGCCCTAGAATGTTCCACCACTCAATTTCATTGGATGACCCTGAGTTCTAGTATTCAAAAGAGAAAAACCATTTGTAGTTTATAAAAGCTCCTTCTCATTTAGCCTCTTAGTGACCTTTTGGCCTTGGACTGAGACCCTGTAAATATCACAGCTTGCAAGGAAAGTGTTCCACCTATCAGACCTCTTTCTGTTTGGATACCTTGGTGTCGTCATGGAACAATCATTTCTCTAATTTCTTCTTAAAGTTCTTCTTAATCCTCTCACTGGCTAACAACCACCTCCCTTGTGATGTCAGGCATTCCATAACTCCTCCCATTAAGGCTGTACCATTTCCTGATTGGCTGCTCTTTATATCCAATCAGCATTCCACATAAAGTATTAACCCAGGGAAATGTTTATTTCAGATTTATTATACTACTTATTTTTCCCCAAAAGTTATTAGTTTTATTTTTTTATTTAGGCTGGGTACATACTTTACCTTCAAAGCATATCCCTCAGAAGAATCCTTACTCTTCATAAACTCTGCTAGTAGTATTGGAAAGCTTCCTTTCTCGAAGACTGGAAGAAATTTAAAGACTATTTGCAGAAATACTGTAAAATTAATGAATGTTAAAATGATGTTGGATTGAAAATAAGTGGTATTGGTATTAAGATTAATAAGAATATGTAAATATGGATTGATAATGAATGAAAATATATAGTTATAATAGGTTAAGATATAGAGTAAAGATGGTTGAAAGAGGGTAAGGATTTGCTGAAATGTCTTTGTGAATGGGAATACAAAAAGGGGATGTGAGAGGAGGTCAAGGAAACAAGTAAATGAGTCCAAAGATATTGAAAAATGGATATTTTTTCTTTTTAAATTTCTTTTTCAACTGCCTGTTTCCCCCCCTGCATTTTGTACCCTTTTTTATTCTTTTTTCTATGTGTGTTTTTTCTTAGTCCGTTAACTGTTGTTATAATTTTAGTTTGTTAATTGTTGTTATAATTTTTTTCTATTTTGTAAACTTACGTTTTTTATTTTGTAAAACTTGAATAAATATCTTTTTTTTAAAAAAGGAAAGCTTCCTTTCTCAACACTTGTACCAGGAAATATGGCAAAGTACATTAGTGTAAGGGACGCTGGTGGCGCTGTGGTCTAAACCACAGAGCCTAGGGCTTGCCGATCAGAAGGTTGGCAGTTCGAATCCCTGTGACAGGGTGAGCTCCCGTTGCTCGGTCCCTGCTCCTGCCAACCTAGCAGTTCGAAAGCACGTCAAGTGCAAGTAGTTAAATAGGTTCCACTCTGGCAGGAAGGTAAACGATGTTTCCGTGCGCAGCTCTGGATCACCAGAAGCAGCTTAGTCATGTTGGCCACATGACCCGGGAAGCTGTCTGCGGACAAACGCCGGCTTTCTCGGCCTATAGAGCGAGATGAGTGCAGCAACCCCAGAGTCGTCCACGACTGGACCTAATGATCAGGAGTCCCTTTACCTTTACCTTTACATTAGTGTAAATCTTCATTTGCAAAGTTAAAGCACAAAGAAAAGGAACAGAAGCAGTTAAATTTCAACATGTTCGGTATACGTTTACTAAATGTATCATCATCAAAACTTACATGCCACCAGTACTATTTTTCCAGAAAAAACTGTTTCCAGAAAACTGACCTTGTACACTTCCCTTGCTTTCTCATAATGGTGTCTGCCTGAGAGGTGTCAGAACTGAGTTCCAGTGAGTTCCAAATGGAAAGAAGCCCTGCATGCAGCTGACCTTCAACCAATGGTAACTCATAGAGAACTGTACTTGGATAGAAAGATAGATCTGCACAATCTCTTAATTGGACTCTGATAAGCTTCATATACTAGAAATCCCTCATCACTACGTACACTTGTTTGTGTATCTGAAGAAGTGTGCATGCACACGAAAGCTCATACCAAGAACTAACTTAGTTGGTCTTTAAGGTGCTACTGGAAGGAATTTTTTTGTTTTGACTATGGCAGACCAACACGGCTACCTATCTGTAACTTGTTTCTCTTGTTGTCCATTGTGTTTTTTTATGAGCCTCTTGGGCTTGCTGATCAGAAGGTCAGCGGTTCAAATCCCTGCGAAAGGGTGATCTCCCATTGCTCTGTACCAGCTCCTGCCAGCCTAACAGTTCAAAAGCATGCCAGTGTTTTTGGAGAGGTAACCGCTGTCAGCTGGAACTTGAAGTTTTTCTTTGCTGGATCGCATTGGAGCATTTACCCGGTGACTTGATCTCAGCCCCCCCTCCGCTACCTTCAAAGCAGCTGGGGACCAAGAGAGACATCGTGTTTCAGGTTGAAGGACCCCTAGGAGCTTAAAGAGATCCCTTTAGGTTTTTAGGGGTGCACTTTGCCTTAGCGCTTCCCCTAACCTTCTTGCAAAGATTGGGCCTGTCGGAATGATCAGGCTCACGCTCCCTGCACCATTCACGCAGCACCCGGAAGTCCAAATCCATGGCTTCAAGTTACAAGAAAGGAGATTCCAACTAAACACCTTTCTGATACTAAGAGCGGTTTGACAGTGGAACAGTTTCCATGGGAGGTTGTGGACTCCTTTAATGGAGCTTTTTAAGCAGAGCTTAGATGGCAATCTGTCGTGGAGGCTTCAATTTGAGATTCCTGCATTGCAGAGGGTTGGACTACATGACCCTCTGAGTCCCTTCCAACTCTACAATCCTATGATTCTCTCAAGCATGTGGTAAAGCCACATGACAGGAAGGAATCCACCCAGAAGTTCTGAAAGCCAGCTTCTGTTCTTCCTTCATGAAACACCTCCACAACCTCCTCTTTCGGTGTTGGGAACCAGGATCCATGGCACAAGCCACAAGAATCATATATACTACCAAGATTATATCATTTTGTCAATAAATTATTAAAATATCAGTTCTTTATGCTCCTTGGCTGGGTATGCAGGACAGATTGAAGCAACCACAAACACTTCCAGATATCAATCATGCAAGACGTGGCAGGACAGGTCCCCGGCTTGGCTCCCAGCTTGGCTCCAAGCTATTCACACCTTGTAAGGGTGTGATTCAGAACAGCAGAATCTAATAGGTTACTTAACTCAGTTGACGGCCACTTTGCATAGGAGCCAACTCCTAGGGCACAGAGGTCCCTTGGCCTTCTGATCATCCTGTGATCAGTTATGCAGGTGGAGCTTATCTGCTCCGCCCTCAATATTTTCTTCAAGTTGGCACCCCTGCTACCATGAATGCCATTATAGCAGCAGCACATGCTGCCAGTGCTGTGCCCACACTGGTGTGGGCCCCAGTCATGCCCCCTGCCAAGTTCTGAAGAAATCAAGAGCAGTTCAAGGTGTTTGTTGCCCAATATTAGCTCTATATGAGAGTAAGGGTGCCTGAATTTCCAAAGTTGTATTTGTGATTAGTCTGCTAGAAGGAGACACCAAACGTTAGGTGGCCCCCATTCTCACTGCCTGGCATGCATGGTTGTCCTTCTGTGCCTTGTAAGGTAGCGACCATGGAGATCTGAAGGGGCAATGGGCATCAAACACACAGAGTAAGGAAACAAATATTGCTATGCATTGGAAATAAATACAATAATCAGAAAACAGACTATGATTGGATCCTTCCGTTTTTTATTTTTGTAGCCATCTACGTCTGAGCTTGCAGAATAAGGTATTTTCAATGTGATTTTGAGGGCTGATGCCAGAGAGTCCCATAACCTAGATGGCAGTGTGGATTGTGCATTAAAACAGTGGTGTGGGAGTGATCTGTTGGTTTTGCTTTTGTGTAGAAATCATGGGATACAGTTTCATTCATCTTAAGGTGTCTTCTTAGAGCCAAGCATCATCAGGCCCCTTCTTACAAATATACTGTTTTTGTAGATCACAGTCTAATGCATTCCAGCAGTTTTCGTAGTAGCAATCAAAGGTCATCGCACCACAGTTGTGGTTCTCTTTATAACTTGGCTCATAGTAATTCCAGTAGCTGAAAAGAAAAGAAACAGCAGCACTAATGAATCAAAATTGGATGTCTACCTCACTGGCTCCCCATGCCTTCTACCATTAAAAAGATGTCCAACGCTTTCTCTCTTAACAGCCACCCACAATTGGGATTTTTTTCTCTCCTCAGATTTTGGAATTCTAACCATGTAAAAAAAGCTGTGGTTTAAGACTGTATGTGAGGTGTGATACATAAGTAGCAATCAAGTACAACATTCCTTGTTTTCCTACAGTGGACATGTGATGGGATGTTTGGTCCAGCCAGTCAAAAACTTCCTGTTTCCTCCTGTACTGGGACATACGTCCTTTTGCATGTGACTAGAGGTGGGCATGTCCTTACCTGTCCAGGTAACAAAAGGTCCAGGCACGCAGCACACACACACTCTTTTTTTGGCTTCCTCCTTTGTTGGACAAGGAGCTTTTTAGCTAGAGATGCTCTGTTGCTTTCAGCCAACAGAGGACAAAGGGATCTATCTCCATATGGGATAGTTCTGCATGTATATGCTTTGTAAGTAAATCTGCCTACAGGGATCCAGCTGTGAATTGATGATGCTGTGAGTAAACTTCTTTATTGACTTTAAATAATATTTTTGTTTGTTTATTCTTTTATAAGGGATATAAGGGGTCTTACCAGGAACATACAATTCAATTCTGAATTGTATGCTATTGAGAGGCTTAAGCAAAGCCTGCAACCAGGTACCTGCTGTGTGTTAAAAGGAGAATGTAAAACTCTGCAAACATGAATTTGACCAACTGCAGTAGGCAAAGACAGGAGTGCCTGGGGTCACGAAGAGTCGGACACGACTAAAAGACTAAACAACAACAACAAAACTCTGCATAGTTATATAACGTGCTAGCGCACGTGAGGAATGATATTAATAAACAATATATCCTCTACAGCCTCCCTGAACATTCCCACATTCTAACCATTAAAAAACCCCCACAGCAACAACTTTGGATCAAGACTGTCTGTTTTCTTCTCATATGGAGTTATTCCTCATAGGAAACTGCAAAAAAAAGTGAGGGTGCCAGTATGGAAGGCTCTTTGGTACACACAAAAACTTTCATTCAATTTATTTAACAATTTTGGGCAGTATCCAATGCAGTACTTCCATTTCTGCAACAGAACTGCCATTCTCTCCACTCCATATGTACCCACTTGTTCATAAACTGCCAGCTGCCAGAAACTCAAACTATTAGGAATCTGTCAGGGATTCTTCAGTTGTGATTCCTGTTTTGCAGGGGGTTCGACTAGATGACCCTTGGGTGTCTCATCCAACTCTAAATTTCTATGTGTTTATGATTCTATTCAAGAGAGTGAGATTCATCTACCCTATCTTGCACACTTACTTCATCTGCTCCTGTTATTTTAGGTTAGAGATTGCTGGTTATTCAGATTGTTTAGCAGGTAACTGCAGAAATCCTTTCCTAAAGAGAGGGTAGCTCAGCTTTACGTTCTTGTTAGTCCTTTTGAAGCTGAGCTAATCAGCCCAAACCATTTAAAAGGATGCCTTCAGCCTCTTCCAAATCACTGCATTCACTATGTTAGAGAAGCAAGAATAGCCTTCCTGCCTCTCCACCCTTGTGAGAAGAAGCAGGCACTCATCTGGATAATGATGTGGAGGAGTATATATGTAGATCTTTGGTAATAGAGAAAAGTGCATGGCAAAATATATTTGGAGAGGGAAAGGATCAATTATGTAAACAAAACCTGCAGCTTTTTGGAATGCATGCCATTAACAAATGTTTCTTCAAAAACTTACTGGACTGCAGCCTCCATTCCTGACAGCCACGACCATTTATTTCCCTTGTTTTTAAAGACTCCAATCCAAAAAATCATTTTACGGTGTTTTACTTCCTTGTTTATAAAATACTAGGGTGGGGAAAAAGAAAAACAGAAAATCTTCAGTAGGAATGAGAAGCCAGGCCCTTCTCTAAAAGCCTTTCTAGACAATGTCCCTTTCTCTGGGAGACTACAGCCCTTTACCAACATTCAGCAGGCATAAAACAAACACATTTCAAAAGGAGAAGCTGTCACCACTGAAGGTCCAATCCACATTTTTTGGGGGGAAGCAGTGATCAAAACTATACAGTGGTACTTTTATTCTCAAACGCCTTGGTACTCAAACACCTTGGTTCCCAAATGCCGAAAACCCGGAAGTAAGTGTTTGGTTTTGGAACATTTTCCATAAGCCAAACGTCCAACGCAGCTGTTGGCTATTGTTTCCGGGGCACCTGCACCAATCAGAAGCTGCGCCGTGGTTTTCGAACATTTCGGAAGTCAAACAGACTTCTGGAACAGATTAAGTTTGGCGCTTTTGTTTTTGCTATTTATTTTGCCTTTTTGTTTATGAGGATTTTTGGCTTAATTTGTTTTTGTGACTGTGTGGAACCCAGTTCAGCTACTGATTGATTGAGGGTGTGACTCTGGAAATAGATAAAAGCATCCCGTCCAAACAATGACTATCATCAATGTAGGTAATAAAATAATAATAATTTTAATTTCTATCATCTACAAAACTGTCTTATTTATTTTATGGTACGGTACATTGGTTATTACTTTCACTTTATGGATCAGTGGTCTTGTTAGATAGTAAAAGTCATGCTAAATTGCTGTTTTAGAGGTTGTTTTTAAAAGTCTGGAATGGATTAATTCATTTTGCATTACTTTCTATGGGAAAGCGGGCCTTGGTTTTGAAACGCTTTGGTTTTGGAACTGACTTCCGGAACTGATTAAGTTTGAGTACCAAGGTACCACTGTACATAGTATTCCAACTATGGTTATATCAAGCACCAAGAATAATTGTGTACTGACGATGTGCTACTGATCCAAATTATGATCATGCTGATGATGAATGATGATGATGGAATCAAGGAAGCATCCCAAAGAGGAAATATTGCAGTGAAGGGTAACTTCACCTGCCCTCACCGAGACTGGCTACATATGTCTTCCAGTCATGACACAGAGTTAAAATTTCCAGATACAGTGGTGCCTCGCAAGATGAAATTAATTCGTTCTGCGAGTTTTTTCGTCTTGCGAATTTTTCGTCTTGCGAAGCACGGTTTCAAAAGAAGTTTTGGAAAAGCTTCAAAAATCACCAAAGTCTTCAAAAACCTCAAAAAAGGCTACCACACCGCGTGCAACTGCACCACTTCAAGCAATGCACCCTGGGTATTAACGGTTTTAAGAAAAAGGAAACAAACTTGCTAGATGTTTTCGTCTTGCAAAGCAAGCCTATAGGGAAATTCGTCTTGTGAAGCAACTCAAAAAACCAAAAACCCTTTCGTCTTGCAAGTTTTTCGTCTTGCGAGGCATTCGTCTTGCGAGGTACCACTGTACTATAAATGACTGTGCCATAGAACAGTTCATCTTGGAACCATCTAGTGGGACAGTGAGTCTGTGTAGCAAATACTCCAATTTCTGTATCCATGTTTGTTGGTTTGTTCCAGAGCTACTGGAATCAGTCTGGTTGTGGTAGGCTTGATGGGATGATGATGGGGGTCTCACCTATGTCTGTGCCCTGCAGCACCCCAGTACCCCTCTGCCTGGGCTAAGGGGCTGGGAGGGGGTTATATCATCTCCATGATATTCTCATGCCAGAGGGTTAGCGTGGTGAGGGAAGCCTTTTTCCTAAGCACTCAGTACATCTCAAAGAGCAGAGGAAGAGAAATCCAAGGGATAGATTCCCCTCAAGTATCTACTACTCCTCTTCCTTCAAGACCTCCTTCCTGACTGCCAGCTTCAGGTTATTAGAGCTCAGCAGCTCCAAGAAACCCCATGGAGTCCTATATGGTAGCAGCTGCTCCCTGCCCACCCACCCTTTGGCTTGACTGATGGAGTTGCTGTCCTGGCTGCATACAGGTAGATATGACCTTCTTAAATGGATAGTGATGATAAGAACCCTTTGACTCTAGGAGATCCCCTGTCTTTTCTATACGCGGCTTTGATGCTCACCTGTTCTTCCCTTGTTTCCATAGAAATGAGGTGGGCGCCTTCCTTCTCACACTTTTTTTTGGAATCCATCCATGTGCGTAGCTCAAGAGAAAAGAAATAGATGGCCCTTGAATATAAAACCCAACCATCATTCAAGTTTCTAGTAAGGATGTCTTTGAGTCAAGCAGATATGGAGGAAGAAGAGAAAAAGAAAACAAGACAGGGAATTAAAAGGAACAACCTTGTACATCTTTGCAGATTTCAAATATTTTTATTAAGTTCATTTCTGCAGCCACATAACATATATTCACCTAGGAAGCTCAGAAATATTAAAACAAGAACAACATTAACTCTTCAACCACTTTATGATGCTGCAGGAAATACCGGGCGGGGGGGGGGCATAGCTGGAAAAGGGAGCACAGTTAAGAACCTTTTATTTGATGGAATAGACAAAAGATGCATGTTCCTTCACAGGCCTTATCTGAACCCCAGGGGCCTCACCCACTTGTTTCCCCCTGGATACTCAGGGCAGCATCAGGGCAGACTTGAAGGTTGGGAAGGGGGAGTAGCTGTGGTTTATCAAAATTCTCTTTCTCTCTCTAGGCTAACTGTCCAGTTGCGGAGGTGGGGAGGGCAATCTAGAGTGTGTATTCCTGGTATTGGGCAACTGGGACAGATGAGGGATTCTGCTGGTTTACCACCTAGTTTGCTGCCCAGCAGTCTCTCTGCCTGAGCTGACAGGATGGATCCAGTGGGCTTCCAATGGCTCTGGGGGATATTCCAGCTGATCTGACTGGTGCTCCTGCCAAGCTTTGGCCAAGCTCTTGAACAACCAAACAACAACAACAACAACACTTTATTTATATGCTGCCCATCTGACTGCGTTTCCCCAGCCACTCTGGGCGACTTCCAACAAATTAAAACACAATTGGACACCAACCATTAAAAACTTCCCGGAACAGGGCTGCCTTCAGATGTCTTCTGAAGGTCAGAAACTTGTTTTTTGCCTTGACATCTGGTGGTAGGGAGTGTCACAGGGCAGGCACAACTACCCAGAGGGCCCTCTGCCTTGACTAGGGCCATTGACACAATTGGCCCTGAGTGCCCTCTCCTTTGTCATGCACCAATCGCCCCACTGCCCAGCAGTCTCTCTGACCAAGTTGGCAGAAGTTGCCTCGGAAGTGCTATTCAAGAATCCCTCTCCCATGGGTGAATATATTAAAGGATAGGTCTTTTAGCTGACCTGTTTTGATTGTCTCTGTTACAGCAAAGAATGATGAAGTATTTTCTTTCCTAACCATAGAGGCTAAATCAATTCAAAAGTTCAGGAGAGCTGAACTGAATATCTTTGATGTTTCCCTAGGGCGGCCCCATGCAAAGGAGAGCAGCACTCTGTTCTGGCTCTAAGAGTATTCAGCTGGGGGGGGGGCTTTCAGCTGGGGCAGAATCAGGGCAGGTTCCCACTGCACTACAATTCTTCAGCATTGTAGGGTAGCTTACCGATTTCTTTTTGCAGTTCTTCATTTTTCTTGGAATAATACCGCATTTCCTCTGATATGTTTTGAGCCACAGCGAGTATTTGGAAATCTAAAAGATTTGAAACAGTTCAAGGGAGTAGTATCTGAAATAACAACCTGCAGATATTAAGAAACCACGTCCAAACATTTTAAAACTCTCTATCCTAAAACAAGAAGCAGAGCTCCAGGATGGGGTTCTTATGAATATGAGGGCAGACTTGATTCTCTTTGCCTGAGATCACCAATGGAAAGCCTCAGAAGAATCCTGCAGCTGGATCAGACCAAAGACCCATGCAATCCGCTATCCTATTCTCATATTGAAAGTGGCTCATGAAGTATCTCCAATGTTCCTCTCCTATGTCCTCCTTTTCTGCTGGGAATCACAGGGTCACAAACCAATTCCCCACTGAGTCACACAGTAAAGCCAAATATGCAAAGATTACTTTACGGTTTTCAATTATGCTTTCTGAAATCTAAGAAAATACAGGCACCCAAACTCTTTTCCTGATGAATATTGGGTTGCATTCCACATAGTTCTAAAGAGGGCGTTCTGTAAGCTCAGGAATTTCTCCTTGTGCAATGCAATCTTCCGCCCCTTTCCCTCCATTCTGTCCTGAAGTTTCCCCCACCCTGCAGAGCAGCTTTGGTGATGGCATGCAGGGAGAAGTGGGGGCAAAGTTCCCTTGTGCTAGTGCTAAAATCTTGCACTAGCACAAACATTGTAAAGTGCAGTGTGATGGGAGAGGACAGCATTTCTAGTGGGGGGATGTGAAAATCACAACTGTCTGCTTTTCTTCCTGCTGAGCAATGAAACAGTGATAAACTCTATTGGGTGATGAGTTTCATTGAGTATGTGTATTACTCACACAATATGAATCCCAAAGTGAACTAAAGGAATTGAAATTTGTTTAAACTAAACATGTCCTAGGAAAAGTGAGGACGTGCATATAAAATGCTTACCATCCTTGTCCACATAGAATGGTTCCATTCCAACAACAAAGCTACGAATCATGTGCATTGCCTCTTGAAGCTCCTCTCTTCTTTGCACTTCCTTCTGATCTAAGAAGGAGGTAGGTAGAAAAGAAATGAAGAAATTGTGTTCTAGCCCACTACTCTGATGAGCTAGAAGAGGGGATACTTGGTTTCAAACTGCTTTTAATATTGATTTGAATTGCTGACTTCTAACGTGGATCTTAGGGAGAAGGATGAATAAAAAAATCAAACCTACAAAAACATGAATACGAATTCTATTAATATTTTCTGGCCTCAGCTCTTCTTTTGGGGGTTCCCATTCCTTGACTGCGGCTGCCCTGGTAGCCTGAAGTCCTGTTTTCATTTAGCCTGTTGCTTCTGTCATCAGATGGTTTGGCCTTCCTTTGAGAGCTTTAGATTTTGGGGTGTTCAGATACACCTGTCCTCTTTGTCCTGTGGACTTGCATTTGCCAGGCTGCCTCATGCTCTGCTGTATGCTTAGAATGTGCAAATTCTTGAATCATTTGGTTCCCTCCCCCTGAGCTTTGCTTACTTTGGAGTGCCCTTTAAAAAAATCAATTAGCTATGCAAACAGGTCATGTGTTCATCTATCCAGTGCTTTTTTCTAGAAAAAGAGACACTGGAACTCAGCATGAATGCCTCCCTTGTTCCCTTAGATTGGCAACGGGAGGTGCCAACGGGAGGTGTGATAACTGAGTCCTGATGAATTCTGGTTGAAAAAAGCCCTGCATATATCTTGATATTTAGGTAGGCTCTGGACCCACCCGCATTAGCCATGACCTTATCCTCTGTAGTCTGTTTTCCCCAAGCACTTTCCTTCATGGGACTGGAGCTGCAGCAGAGGGCAGGTGTCATGAATGAGTCATCCCCCAAGAGAAGTTTGCAGCTAGCTCCCAATGAAGGAAGGAGCCAGGATGAGAGAAGGTTAATTACAAGACAAGATGATTATAGCTGGGAGCCACCTCCGCTGCCCGTAGGAATGCCAATTGATAGCAGAGTTCCAGGAAGCCAGTCAGCAGCTTGCCAGCATGCTAGTGATGGACAAAATGCAGGGGCTAGAAATGAAAGCAGCTTAGAAAGCAGGAAAGATCACGGAAGTAATCTCTCAGACAACGAGGAAGGGACGAGAGGTGACCCCCTCAGCCCAAGGTCTAGGCATATGGGGAGTGTTCAAGACAGAATACTTCACAAAAGGAAGTTCAACTGTTTCTGGTCTCACCGAAACATCCACCTTAGAAGGGACATCTTTGATTTATGGACGGATGGCTGTGCTTGCTGCTCTGGTGAACTCTGTTTGTTTTGCAATAAATATTATTTTTAATTAACTACACTCATTGTTATCAAGACTCCCTTTCCTTCAAGGGACTGGAGCCCTAGCAGAGGGCAGGGTGGCGAGGACCAGGAATGGGGACTCTCCCACAGCAAATAAGGATTAGTTGGGTAAGGAGCAGAGAATGGCAACTGGGAAAGGGAATTACCCAGGGTGTTCCAGGGACTTGTGTTAGCCTGTGCTTCTGCTCCAAGTGCTGGAACTCACTTATTCAGGGAGAACAAAACAGTGTCATTGCTCTCACTGGGTGACAGCTGTAACTCACTCCCTAAATTCAAAGAGTTGAAGAGGGTAAATGGAAGGTGGAACCTGCCATCTCTTTTTGGAAATGCTTTTGGCATTGAAGCAAAGCACAAGATATTAGTATCAATGTACACCAATTATGTACTTACACAGAATGTAAACCAGCAGTGTCATGGCAATAAGGATGCAAATCTCAAGTATGATAAATCTTTCACCCGTTGGAGAATGGAAGAAGGTAACCATGTCCTGAAAACCAGATGCTTGAAGAAACAAAATTCTACTTTAGCCATCAGTAGCCAACATACCCTTGCCACTCAAGGAAAAAGGGCCATCAGCCAGAGACAGTCAATTGTTCAGGGGGTGGGCACTTGGGAGGATAAGCAGGTGGAGGAAGCAAAGCGAGATGGCTTTCTGCTTGAGGAAACGTTTCTGACCAATTTCTGGATCAGAAGACAGTAGCCTTTGATACTAAAGGACTTTCTGCTCCCCAAACAAATGACAAGATGCTCCCTCTGAACACATAATGCCACATACAGAAGCTGGTCTGGTCTGGCCCTTGGCTGATATTTCGATGCTGCTGATGGGGCAGCAGACTAACTGAGAAGGTGCAGTGCAGCTTGTGTGGTCTACCCATCTTACCCACCCCAGCACCTGCTACCTGAAGCAACTGTCTCATTCTGCCTAATGTTGGAGACATTCCTGGCTGCACAGAGTAAAGGAACACCACAGCCAGCAGCAAAGAGTGGGCTGAATCCTGGGGTTTCTATGGGGATTACTGGATCTCTGGCACCCAAAGAGCTGTGTGGGCTTTTCTCTGCACTCCTCCCTGGCACAACATGACTGGCTCCACTCCCTGCCTGTCTCTCCATCAACTTCCCTTTCCCATGCATTCCTCTACTTCATGAGAAACCTCATCCCATATGACTGTGCTGTATACAGACCAACAGTTTCTTTTGCTCTTGCTTTACGCTTTCTGAATGCTAGATGTCTTCTGGACGCTGCACGCTTTGCAGGCGTTGGCTTCCCCATCCTCTCAGTTTTGTCTGTGAAACAACAAGCTATTATAACATGGAGGATAAGAATATGAACACATTGGTTGGATGGTGGGTGTTTAACCTTCCAAACTCAGTGTATGTCTCTTGTCAAGCATCAAAGCTCACAATATTTGCTTCTGTTGTCCTGCACTTAGAATCATAGAATCATAGAGTTGGAATAGACCACAAGGGCCATCGAGTCCAACCCCCTGCCAAGCAGGAAACACCATCAGAGCACTCCTGACATATGGCTGTCAAGCCTCTGCTTAAAGACCTCCAAAGAAGGAGACTCCACCACACTCCTTGGCAGCAAATTCCACTGTCGAACAGCTCTTACTGTCAGGAAGTTCTTCCTAATGTTTAGGTGGAATCTTCTTTCTTGTAGTTTGGATCCATTGCTCCGTGTCCGCTTCTCTGGAGCAGCAGAAAACAACCTTTCTCCCTCCTCTATATGACATCCTTTTATATATTTGGACATGGCTATCATATCACCCCTTAACCTCCTCTTCTCCAGGCTAAACATAATCTCCCTATTACAGGAACATAAATTTTAAAGTAGATGCACATCTACAAATGTCAAGGATTTCATTGGTACAAAGCTGAAATGCACAACTTCAAGCGAAAAATGGGTCTCAATGAAGCATTTCCAACATTACACTTTGGCGTCTATTAGTTTAGTAGTATTATTAAATCCTTTCCCATAAATACATATTTGAAACATCTCTCTCTTTTCCTTTTACTGGATCAATCTCAGTTTTAAATCAAAAATATATTCCATATGGATTCCAAGGAATTTTAAAAAAACGTTTTAGGTAATATAGCCCATTCTCATTTTGCATTCTATATCTTTCTAAGCTCCTGGACATCTGCTTTCTAGGACTTCAGGAAGCATTTGCAAACAACAGTTATGGGTTTGATCCACATGTTCACTCTATATTTATTTTATAGTGTAAATCAAATTTGGGGCAATCTTCTTTGGGGAAGAAATGGGTTGATCTGTACACTAGATCAGAAGATAAGATCATTTGGAGTGTTTTTGGTTCTGCTAATATTGCTACTGAAATCTCAGTTACTGGTGTGTGCTAAAAATAAATATCTTGCTTTGCAACATTTATTGGTGTTTATTTATAGGCTATCTGCTTATGTCAGGATTACTTACTGTCCCAAATTACCATGGCTAAAAGTCCAAATACCTTTCAATTTTGTGTTTGTCCCTTTTGCAGCACAACTGGAGCTGTTTTCATTAAGATACCAGCCCTCAGGCTGAAAGTGGCTTCCTCATATGTTCACTATTTAATAGGTCGCGTGGGATCTATGAGGTCTTCAGATGTTCCTGGGTGCCAGCTCCCTCCATCACAGGCATCATTGTCAATGATTGGGGATGTCAGGAGTTGGAGACCAGTAACATCTGGAGGGCCACATGTTCCTCACCCTTTAAGGAAGGTATATACATTTAATTATATAACTACCTCCTGATCATCAGAAAAGATGGAGTCCTAGATCTGGTCTCAGTTGGATGCATGTAAATCCAATTGAGTCTAGCAAGACTTTGGAGACCATGAGCTGGACCTGGAAAAGAAACAGAGGGAAGCTGTTACCCAGGCTCCCCAAGTGTGCCACTTTATTTTCTTTTTGCAAAGACCTAGCCTGACATCTGATGCTGCAGCTTAAAGAAAAGAAGAAGAAGGCTGTTGTCTAATTCTGTTTTAAAGCCTTATGAGCTAGCAAATGGGGTTTCCAAAGACTTGTATTTTTTGGATCATGATCTGGATCTGGTTTGATAAACTGGGCCCATGAATCAGTGTGGGCACCTGTATTGCCATGGAATAAAACAGAATGTGCTGCTCCTGGCTTGCAACGTAGCTGGAGGTTTAATATAAGGAACCTGGCTGTTTGAGAAGAAGTTAAAGCAACTTCATGGCTTGGCCAGCTATCAAACACCTGACTGCATGAGGGATGGACGGAGGAAGCAGTTGTCTGGGAACAAGGAAAGTAACCTTACTTTGACCAAACTGCAGAGATAAAGAAAGAATGCACATTAAGACTCATGCCCACGTGTGTCGACTCCCAGGTTAGATCAAAAGATGGGAATGGAATTACGTCATGAATTAGATCTGTTGCCAGCTTGGCATGAGACCTACACTATAAACTATATAAAGGCCAGCAGCTGAAGGAGACAGGGAGATCTTGATACATTGTTCTATGCTCCATTCCAGAATGTGAAGAGAATGACCACCTGCCAGTCTGAAGTGTCCCAGATAAGCCTTCCAGATCTCCATTGGCTGGGCAGACACAAAGAACTGAACCTATGCTATCTGTATTATGATTATTGTTGCCTAAGATCTTTTGCTTATTGGTTATATTGCTAGCTTTGTAGTTTATTCCAGCTGCTGTTGGCTTTATATCAGACTCTATTCTATGTTGCTGATCAATTTCTTTGCTAATGTTTACCAATTAATAAAAGTTTGTCTCTACCTAAGAGTCTCCGTTCAGTAGAATCCAAATAACCTCTTGCGTGCCTGGTGGTTGCTATTGGCCAAACAACCAGTAATACAGTGATCCAACTGGTAAGACAGCACCTGTACACAGCCCTCGAATGTTCCACCACTCTGTTTCATTGGATGACCCTGAGTTCTAGTATTTAAAAGAGAAAGACCACCTGTAGTTTATAAAAGCTCCTTCTCATTTAGCCTCTTAGTGACCTTTTGGCCCTGGAATGAGACCCTGCAAATATCAAAGTTTGTAAGGAAAGTGTTCCACCCATCAGACTTATTTCTGTTTGGATACCTTGGTGTTGTCATGGAACAATCTTTTCTCTAATTTCTTCTTAAGGTTGTTTCATCCTCCCGCTGGCTAAGAACCACCTCCCTTGTGATGTCAGGCATTCCAGAACTCCTCCCATTTAGGCTATACCATTTCCTGATTGGCTGCTGATCATATCCAATCAGCATTCCACATAAAGCATAAACCCAGGAAAATTTTGGTTTCAGATTTGATATATTACTTATTTTTTCAAAAGTTATTAGTTTTATTTTTTTATTTGGGCTGGGTACATACTTTACCTTCAAAGCATATCCCCAGAAGAATCCTTACTCTTCATAAAATCTGCTAGTAGTATTGGAAAGCTTTCTGTCTCAACACTTATACCAGGAAATATGGCAAAGTGCATTAGTGTAAATCTTCATTTGCAAAGTTAAAGCACAAAGAAAAGTAACAGAAGCAGTTAAATTTCAACATGTTTGGTCTACATTTATTTTGTCTCGCAGCATCAGCCTCAGGGATTTCATTAACCACCAGTTAAAAGTAATTTCAATATATTTTATTGTTTTCACATTTAATGTCATAAAGTTAAAAAAATCATAAACATGCATAGAGTAGAAATAAAAAGATAAATTTAAGTACGTATTTATATATTTTTTAAAAATACCCTCTTTTCTACTTGCACTAAAAATTGAGTTACTGCAGCACTGGTGTTGGTGGTCAGTAAGGAAATTTTACCATCAAGAAAGATGAATTATTGGGGGGCCACTAGGGGCGCATTGGAAGATGGCTGACAATAAAATCTCTCCGACCCACACGAGGTAATTAAGAGGCTGTTATGGGAGTATGCAGTCTCCCTGCCCCCCCAAGGGAATGGGGGGGGACTGCCCTTGCCTGCTGTGCCCATAAATCACCCCCGGACTCGAGGGGGTGAGGGCACTAGGCAGAATGCCCTTGTGTGGATTTCGGCTCTCCTGGACGCTGTCTCTGATCACGCCACTAGCTGCAGCAACTTGAAAATAAACAATTAGGAAGAAGCAAATGCACATATTTCAAGTGAAGAATGGGGAGTAAAGACTGCTAATTGAAGGGACCTCTATGAAAGAAGGACGGATCAGATCAACAGGAATATATCATGAGAAGACACATCAAGGCTCAGTATGTCAGCAGCAGGACTGGATGGGGGGGGAACGTTTTTTCTTTCTTCTATGTGATTAACCAATAACGCCCCCCCCCACAAGTCAGAAATGTTGCTTATATGACCTAAGCTGGGTGATTTAAGGCTGTGTGGAAATGAATTCTAACCAAAAGCATGTTTTAAGGAGATTGAGGAAAGTATAAGAGCTTTTGGATGACGCAGTAAAAAATAGTGTCGCCATTTTGGCAAGTTCTGTCGAAAGAATTACGGCCGAGAGGAGGAATGGATTGTTTTTATACTGCAGGCGAACCTACTCAGAGGACTAAAAGAAGGCGACAGATTTGTGAAGATTAATGATGGAAAGAGTGCTTTTATTTATGGAACTGATATATGGAAACCATCTCGATATGGCTCTTGGACCAACGGAAAAATTCACACAGGATTACAATGTGTTTTTTACCTGCTTATGAAGATTATCAGAAGAGGTCACAAAGAGAAAGGAAAAATATATGAAAATAACAAGATGAGATATGGGAAACAGCAAGAGAGGACTGGATAGAATTATGAACATTATTTGGACAGATTTGTGGACATTAACACAGTAGCAAGAAGATGATTGGATCTCCTTCGGAACTTGAAATATGGGTACCCCCAACAAAAAATTAAAATTCAGCTTTGTAATTTGGAATTTATGTGATGTGATTTGATTTGATTTGCTTGGTCGGTTAATAAAAAATATTTTTTTAAAAAAAGAAAGATGAATTATTGGACGGTAAGTATAAAAAGGTTGACTACCCATGGGCTAGACGATTCCCTGAAAGTTAACATTTTAGGGTCAGGCAACATCTGATTTTGCTGCTGAGCTAAATGCTCTTTAAAAGCGAGGTCCTTGCCTATAAGGCAAGGTGTGTTCTTGTTGTTGTTTAGTCGTTTAGTTGTGTCCGACTCTTCGTGACCCCATGGACTAGAGCATGCCAGGCACTTCTGTCTTCCACTGCCTCCCACAGTTTGGTCAAACTCATGCTAGTAGCTTCGAGAACGTTATCCAACCATCTCATCCTCTCTCGTCCCCTTCTCCTTGTGCCCTCCATCTTTCCCAACATCGGGGTCTTTTCCAGGGAGTCTTCTCTTCTCATGAGGTGGCCAAGTCTTGGAGCCTCAGCTTCAGGATCTGTCCTTCCAGTGAGCACTCAGGGCTGATTTCCTTCAGAATGGAGAGGTTTGATCTTCTTGCAGTCCATGGGACTCTCAAGAGTCTCCTCCAGCACCAGAATTCAAAAGCATCAATTCTTCGGCGATCAGCCTTCTTGATGGTCCAACTCTCACTTCCATACATCACTACTGGGAAAACCATAGCTTTTACTATACGGACCTTTGTTGGCAAGGTGATGTCTCTGCTTTTTAAGATGCTGTCTAGGTTTGTCATTGCTTTTATCCCAAGTAGCAGGCGTCTTTTAATTTCGTGGCCATCTGTCACCATCTGCAGTGATCATGGAGCCCAAGAAAGTAAAATCTCTCACTGCCTCCATTTCTTCCTCTTCTATTTGCCAGGAGGTGATGGGACCAGTGGCCATGATCTTCGGGGGGTTTTTATGTTGAGCTTCAGACCATATTTTACGCTCTCTTTCACCCTCAATAAAAGGTTCTTTAATTCCTCCTCACTTTCTGCCATCAAGGTTGTGTCATCTGCATATCTGAGGTTGTTGATACTTCTTCATGGATCACTGCCTTGCCGTGGCGAAGGGGCTTGGATAACTCAGAGAAGCTATGAACTATGCCGAGCAGGGCACCCAAGATGAACAGGTCATAGTGGAGAGTTTTGACCAAACGTGATCCACCTGGAGGAGGAACCGGCAAGCCACTCCAGTATCCCTGCCAAGAAAACTCCATGGACAAAGACAACAAGGCAAGGTGTAAAAATATCATTTTCATGTACTATAACTGCTAAGGACCCTTTAAAATCTTTGTATTCACAATTCACCTGGGCTAGACTGGTTTTTACTACTTGGACCCCATAGGGAGTTACAATCAACTCTTTAATAACCCCTTGAATATTGAGGAAATATCAGCCCCTGTGTCCTGTAACCCAACTACTAATATGTTATTAATTTTAAATTCCTCACTGAATTGCACCTGAGCCCATCTAGATTGACACAGGTCAATTCATGCCATTCTCCCAGAAGCCCATTCTGATGAATCATTTTCTGTTGAAGCTTGATTCCGGGGAGTGGGAGGTGCCGTTATATATTGTTCACTTGGCCTTCCTCCCGTGAAGCTTCCTCAGACTGCACCACACACACTTTTGCTGTTCTTGAGACATGACCTGTCCACCATTTTCTGTCTTGGAGCAAGCTACAGTCTTTCTTAAGATGTCCTGGCTGTTTACAAAACAAAATAACAAACAAACAAAAAGCCAACAGGCCACTCTGAGACAAAACTCTGAAACCTTCCCATTTTAGGGAGGTTTCCTGTTATCACCAAGGTGCTGTTTTCCTACTCCTCCCTTTCATAAGTTGACTTTCCAGAACTTACCATTTTACCAGTGAACAGGGAGCACAGAATTCTCATCCAGTGGTTCACGAAAACAAGAAAGTCCTCACATGTTTCGGCTCCCAAAGCTGACCTGGAGTCTCAGATCCTCAAGAGGTTTACCCATGCCCAAATAATACAAAGAAGTGGTTTTGTCTTCACTCCACTGCAAGAAACTGACCTTATAGTGTTATATTACTATTCCCATGCAAAACAGAATAATCCACAGATGGGATGGACTTCCTTTTTTGTTGGAATTCATAGTCTACATGCAGTTTGGCAAGTGAGCAATTAGTGTCTCCACAGCAGCCTGGGAGCACAAAAGGAATCTGCCTAGAGATTGTCGGAATTGGGGGATTGAAAAGCCACCTGGCTCGGCCCCAGCTAGAGCATCCCCTCTCTCAGCTTTGCATCCATTGACCTCTGCACCTCCGACGTTCATCAGTGACTCAAGCTTGCAGGCTTGAGCACACATTACTCAGCAGTGTAAACTGCGCAACAGAAGAGGCTTGAGCCGTGGACACATACTAAACTATGCATTTATTATACATAAATCAGGACAAAGAAAATATGGCATCTCTCCTTGCCATCTTCGTGGAGAGAAACTGAAAAACAAAAGCAATACAGAGCAGAAGTTCCGCTCACGCCAGCAATCTGTGCTGGAATGTAAACATGTAACAATCCCACATATCTGCAGCAAAAGGTGGAATGGAATTTCCAACAGAGATAAGAGGACCCAGCAACAGCTCAGTGATTGGCTGGGGTCCCTCATATAGGCAGCATGACCTATGACACTGGTTGTTGAGGAGTAAGTGTTAGTGTGGTGTCGTTAATGCTGAGGAGTTGCTGAGTGAAGAAGTCGTGTTGTATATAGTAACTTGCATATAGCTTGTATGTTTACTGCTGTATATACCATATTTTTTGCTCTATAAGACGCACCAGACTACAAGACGCACCTAGTTTTTGGAGAAGGAAAACAAGAAAAAAAATATTCTGAATCTCAGATGCCAGAACAGCAAGAGGGATCGCTGCACAGTGAAAGCAGCAATACCTTTTGCTGTTCTGGCTTCTGGGATAGCTGCGCAGCCTGCATTCGCTCCATAAGACGCACACACATTTCCCCTTACATTTTAGGAGGGGAAAAGTAGTCTTATAGAGCAAAAAAATATGGTAATAAACTACAAGAATCAAGTTACTAGTCGTCAGCTTTGTTCCTGATCGTTGTCCTGCCTGGGCAATCTCCAGTGTTGCCTAAGAAATGCTGCAATGCTCTGCTATACTCTGCTAAGCTGTGCAGGAGGCAAAAGCACTTCAAAAGTTCACCGGCTTCAAAGTTTTAACATTTTTAACATCCCATCAGATTGCCAGATCAATCCAAATTACTTTAAATAATAATCCAAAGAATTTCTTCAGCTTTGCAGTTTTTG